TCAGCTCAAGGCGAGCGCTCTACCACTTTTGCCACAGCACCACTTCCGGCTTTCTAGTGGTTTATTGGAGATAAGAGTCTCACAGATTTTCTTGCCCAGGCTGGCTTTGAACCACGATCCTCAGATCTCAGCCTCCTGAGTAGCTAGGATTACAGGCGTGAGCCACTGGCACCTGGCTCGACATTAATTTTTTTTTTTTGGGTCCGGTCATGGGGCCTGAACTCTGGGCCTGGGCGCTATGCCACTTCTGGCTTTTTTTTTTTTTTTGCTTATGTGGTGCTGAGGAATCGAACCCAGGGCCTCAGGCATGCAAGGCAAGCACTAAGCACTCTACCACTGAGCCACTTTCCCAGACCTTGACATTAAAATTTTAACTAGGTTTAGGGGCTGGGAAGATGGTTCAGTGGTAGAGTGCTTGCCTTGCATGCATGAGGCCCTAGGTTCGATTCCTCAGCACCACATAAGCAGAAAAAGCCAGAAGTGGCACTGCTGTGGCTCAAGTGGTAGGTAGAGTGCTAACCTTGAGCTGAAGAGCTGAGGGACAGAGCTCAGGCCCCACTACTGACCCCCCCCAAAAAAATTAACTAGGTTTAAATACAACAAATCATAGGATAAAATTTCAATTACCTGTAAACTGTGGAAAATAGCCATTCAGTGTACTAGAAAGTACCAGGTAAGTGTGTGCACATCAACTTCTACTATGTTTCTAGAAACTTCAAGGGCTCTCTCTGCCCTTGCCCTACTAATTTGTCACACACCTGTATCTCTTATTCAAGCCCCCCTCCCTCCGACACACACCCGGCATTCCCCCTGCCCTGCATTTGATATATAGGTGAATGTAAGATACATGACTGCAGCAATCTTTTTTATCGGTCGTGGGGCTTGAACTCTGGGCCTGGGCGCTGTCCCTCAGCTCTTCAGCTCAAGGCCAGAGCTCTACCACTTGAGCTACAGCACCACTTCCAGTTTTCTGGTGGTTTATTGGAGATAGGAGTCCTCCTGCCTGGGCTGGCTTTGAACCAGATCTTTTGATCCTCAGATCTCAGCCTCCTGAGTAGCTAGGATGACAGGCGTGAGCCACCAGCGCCCGGCAACTGCAGCAATCTTTTTTTTTTTTTTGGGTCCGGTCGTGGGGCCTGAACTCTGGGCCTGAGCACTGTCCCTCAGCTCTTCAGCTCAAGGCTAGCACTCTACCACTTGAGCCACAGCGCCACTTCCGGCTTTTTTCTTTTTGCCTATGTGGTGCTGAGGAATCGAACCCAGGGCCTCATGCATGCAAGACAAGCACTCTACCACTGAGCCACCTTCCCAGCCCCAACTGCAGCAATCTTAAACCAAGACAACACAAGGAAAATAATCACACCTTGAACTAAAAAAGACTGGGGACAAGATCAGACCTAAAAAGACCTCAGGAGAGGTGGAAATCTTCCTAGAGATCTTTAAGAACGTAAAAAATACAAGTGATGATACACCTATTCCTGTCCCTTCTCATGATCATTTTATGTCTCCTGGAAGAGACGGGAGTGAGTAAGGGTGGCTGATTAACTTTTTGTGCCAGTACTGAGGGTTAAACTCAGAGCCTGGGCGCTGTCCTTGAGTTCTCCGTTAAAGGCTAGTGCTCTACCACTTAAGCCACAGCTCCACTTGTGGCTTTTTGGTGGTTAATTGGGAGGTAAGAGTCGCATATTTTCCTCCTCGGGTTGGCTTTGAACCTCCATCCTCAAATCTCAGCCTCCTGAGCAGCTAGATTACAGGCGTGAGCCACTGGTGCAGCTTAACTTTTGAAGATGCCAGAGAATTAAACAACCTCGTACACTTTCTCTACCACCAGGAAAGAGGAGTAACAAAGTTTCCCCCCTCCTTTTTTTTTTTGGCCAGTCCTAGGTCTTGAACTCAGGGCCTGGGCGCTGTCAATGAGCTTCTTTTGCTCAAAGCTAGCAGTCTACCCCTTGAGCCACAGAGCCACGTCTGGCTTTTGCAGCTTATGTGGTACTGAGGAATCGAACTCAGGGCTTCATGCATGCTAGGCAAGCACTCTACCACTGAGCCACATTCCCCCCTCCCCCCCCCCACCTTGTTTATTGCAGTTTTCACCGCAGAGAACAGGTCAGGAACCTACGAGGTGCTCGACGAAGACTTGAACCCTACCCTCGAGCAGCCTCAACTCGGCCCACGTCGGAACCCGGCCCCCAACCCGAGGAGGTTCGGCCTGTCCAGGGTTCCGCGACGTGACACTACGACCAGGTCACGTCCCTGCCATCCCTAAAGGCAACTGCACGAGCGTCAATGTGCTGGCGGCGGACGGAGCCTGACACGGTCTGTGGCAACGCCTAAACTCTGGCCCCGGCCCGGCCTCCACTAGGCCCCGCGACCTCGCGGGTGAGCCGGGCCAAGCGCAGCAACCCCAGGCCTCTGCCGACCCGCACGCCGAGAGCCCGGCGTCCTCGGGGTGGACGCGGCAAAGGCCGGCGCAAGGCCTGAGAGATCCGGGGCAGAACAGCCCCCCAGGACCCGGACGTGACCCTCGCAACCCACTCACCTTCACCACCTAGGACGGACCGTCGTCCCCGCTCAGCCAGAAGCGGCGGAAGTAAGTCGCCGGAAGGCCTTCCCTCGCCCAACCGCAGCGCGCAGGAGGCGTGTCTCCTGTCGCATATCAGCCAATAAGAGTGAAGCATGGGGTGGCCGGCCCCGCCCCGGGGGCGGACGCGGCGCCTGCGCCTCCGGGGGCCCCCGCGAGTTGAGGGGCGCTCCCGTCCGCTCGGCACTGTGGCTCAAGTGGTAGAGCGCTAGCCTTGAGCTGAAGAGCTGAGGGACAGCGCCCAGGCCCAGAGTTCAGGCCCCACGACCGGACCCAA